AACTTTACACATTATATAGGCTACACTAACGTGACGTTTAGGTGGTTCATTTAAGTATTATACGTGATGTACATGTTCTGGAGGTGGTTAATGAAAGTGTTCCAAAACACAACATTAATTTCTTGACGACCTAATACGTCATGTCCGTGGTAGGAGGAGCCTCACTGTCACAGTCATTTAACATGGTATGTGATCACAGGTCATACAGTACATAGTTAAGACTAAGTATACCTGGTCAGGCAACACTCATCACAAAGTGTAACCCAAATATATACGAAAAAGGCCTCTGTAAAGAAAACAAGAAATGAATGGAGTACTTACCACTCACAGATAAACAGTTACAGCACTGATTATGTCCCCCAAGGGAAAGTGGAAAGTACAGCTACGGACATTGTAAGGTGACAGATCTGAAGGGAAGAAAACATGTAAAAGGCAACAATTACCCTTAAAGAGGGAAGAAAAATGCCAGGTGAATTAACTGGCAAATTCAACCCAGAAGGAAAAAGGAGAGGTGAGGATTTCACAGAAGAAATAAATGGACATGGGAACCATGGAAGGAAGCAGTATGACATGTAACATACCACTGAAGAGCACTGACTGGGCAAATGAGGCGGGCAGGATCTGAATGGTCATAGAGGTGGGAAGGGAATAAGGTGTGAAGGGAGAAGTACCCTTTTGAGCCGCCAATATCTTGGGCTTAAAGGAACGATCAGGAAAGGTGATTTAATGAACACAAAGACAAAAGGAAAAAATGTGGAGAACCACATAAAAGTCCTAATCTAGAAGGGAAGCAGGGCAGGGAGAATGGGAAAATAGAAGGAATAAAACAATGGATAAGACTGGCAACTAGAAAACACAACAAAGTCAGTAAACTGAAAAGAGGCAAATAATGCCACACTACAACCTACAAAAGATGGAAATCGAAAGGCTCCATTCAAAAACCAAGGCAAAGAGGGCAGTATGTGAGGAACTGTAAGATGGAAAAGACTATAACCCCTTAGAACAGACCAAAAAACAGTATTTGTACCACATATGTAGATAAACTGCCTTGGAGGAAGAAAGAATGGGAAAGAAAACCAAGGAAGCTACACACAAAAATCTGGCCCTTAGGTGATGGACCATACAAAGCCACATATGAAAACAGAGTGCGGGTACAGATGAATGGTGCATGCCGGGGTGTGCCTGACAGAGAAGTGTCAGAGATAAAGGAAGAGAAAGGGAGGAGACACCAAAAACAGGAGTCTGGCCCCACCAGCCCTGACCCAAAAAGGGTGGGCAGAGTAACGATAAATTTGGGAAAAGTTAATCGAATTATCGGGTCCAATCCCCATGAAGATAATATTGAATGACGATAATCAAAAGTATGATCAGCCAATGTACATGGAGGACGAAGCTTACTGACCCTCAAACCCAAATGCTCCCCAAAACGACTCGCATGAATATCCAGAGAAGGAGGAAACACTAAAATAATGACCCAAAGGCTAATCCCCAAGAAGAGCAAGGGTGGAACATGGGAAATGGGAGATAAAGACAGAACATAACATACCAGAATAATCAAATCAACCAATGGGGAAAAAGGTCTGGGTAAGTTCTACAAAACAACACACGACCAATAGGCATATTCAGGAAAGGGAAAAAGGCTGTCCAAATCCAAAAACTTCCTGACCACTGAAAACCATGATGGGACAATCACAGTTTGTTTTGATTTTTGCGTGAAATTGGTCAACTCCCAACAGACCAGAGCCATCACTTCATGGGCCGAGAATCGTGCAGCAGTTGTAGTTGTGACCACATGAAACTGCAAGTGCATAACTCACAAAATTGAAAGAGAATATAAATAAGATAATTCATAACTCTCCACAAAAAGGATCAAAAATAGTAAAGAACAATGTAATTGAAGAAAAAAATTAAGAAAGTAAAAACTTGTGGATAAGTGAATCAAACCATGAGCAAAAACACATCTATTCAATAGGAAGTGGTTAACAAGCTGCAAGATTAGAGAGGGTGCTAGTTACGATAAGGGTAGTGTCACACTCCTATTCATGGAGGGTTGCTGCATAATCATTTGCATGCTAGTATGCAGAAATAAGTAAGAGTATCAAGAATAGTGGCAAGCAAAAATTTGCACTGCTAGAGGGCAGTATATGTCGAGAAAGCTTTTAGTGAGAGGAGGTAAGATATAGTATCGGAATTATTACCTTTTCAATGCTTGCAAACAATATAAACTATTATTAACTTACAAAACACTTGCACGAGGCACCTCAATATGTATTAAGAAATTTATAAGTTTAAAATCTAGTGAAGAAAGGATAGAAGCTCTATGGCAAATAAAGTACGAAAAAGACAAAAAATCCCCAGATTCAGACAATATAACTATAATTTCCTCAAATTAAGAAGCTTGAAATTTGTAAAATGAAGCATGCTAG